TCCCGGCGCTGGCAGCGGTAGGCGTGTATCCTTCTATGTAGCAGCCAAAAAGCCATGATGTTAGCCTACAAGGGCGTTACCAACTCGGATGACCGTAGGAATCCGGAATCGCGAAGGGGCGATCGCCTCGATGCGAACACCAGTACACCTTCCCAAACAAATGATTTTTTAAATTTTTCTTTAAATATTGGCAGTTTGCTACTGGTTCTGTTGGTAGAACTATTCTCCCAAGATCCACATCTCTGCGGAGAAAGGTAGTCGCCGTGCGCGCAAGGGGATCATTCGCCGCACCAAGCAGCAGAAATCTTGCCTCCCTGCGCGGAGGGACTGTCCGTGCGCGCGGTAGAAAAAGTTGCCTTTGGGAGGGGGGCGGGAGTATCCCCGCGCACGGCTCGTTCCGTCGCCGCGCCCGCCCGCACAGATGCCGCCGTGCGCGGGGGAACGAAACTCCCCATGCGCGCGGTAGAAAAAGTTGCCTTTGGGAGGGGGACGGGAGTGTCCCCGCGCACGGCGCGTTCTATCGCCGCGCCCGCCCGCACAAATGTTGCCTTTCTGCGGGAAACTGGAGGCTCCCTGATCAGGGCGACGTCTCAGGCATGTTGCCCTCACCAGAGCATCTTTTTGTACAAATACCCCGGCCGACACAAAAGTTGCCTTTAGGAATCACAGTGTGGCTGACGGCATTCGTCGAAATTAGCTGGCGAGGTGCGGAAGAGAAGAGAGGCCTAAAGCAAAGGACGCACTGACCCGTAAACTTATGCCTCTGCTCAGATGGTCCTCGGTGGGCGCGCGCCGGCGATGGGTGGGGGCCGCGGGGCCGGCCGCGCCGAGGGCCGAGCAAGGCCTTTTCAATTTCCATCTTTTCCCCGGCAATGATGGCGCCCTCGCCCGATTCGGCCCGTTACTTTTCACCGAGGCACGGTCGTGCAGCGGGGGGAAACGAGGGGTCCGGCACGGCTTTACAAGGCCTTATCCGCGCGCCCATCCTAACGCCGTTTCTAGCAACACTGGAAAAAATATTTTCTGTAAAACTTAAGCATTGGATTTATAAATTTACGACAGGCTAATGTTTTTAGCTGTAGAAAAATACATGGATCATATTACAATTTTAAAATCCCATTTCTGTTTTCCAGTTTCCCATGCCTTGTTTTCAGGCAAACATTGTTACATGTAACGAAAGCCCATGCCCTTTTGAAAGTTTATGGCTAACAACGGCTTTCTCTCTGTGTTGCAGACGTGGAGCAGGAGTTTCAGCTGCAGGTGCACAACGTCTTCGCGCTGCGGGGTAACGTGGCGGTGCTCAGGTGTTCGGTGCCGCCGGCGCTGCGCTCCCAGCTGCGGGTGAGCGGATGGTACCGGGAGGACGGCCCTTTCGGCCGCGTGCAGATCCACTCCGACAACAGGTGAGAGCAGCTGTTAGGCGTGTCGTGTGGAAAGTGTAAGGGAAACACCGCGGCCTTTGTGCTGGTGGGCTATCTGCCAGGCTTTTTGAGGGAAGCACTATAAACATGTGCTAAAATCCAGAATTATCCATTACTCTCCACCGGAATTCAGTAGTTCAGATCACACGGTTTCTTGCGATTGGCTATGTTGGTGATAAGAAGTTTTTGTTCAGTTGTCGACTTTTTTCACATCCTTTCCTGTACGCGATCTGGTTCTGAAACTTTTTATGGGGTCGCCTTCCCTCGTATCACTGTCACTGCACTCAGAGCCCTTACACCTCGCAGTGACGCCCACATCTCTCTCGTTCGCCCCTTAGGCACACCATCACGTCGACGGGCACGCTGCACATCCGCGACATGTCGGCGTCCGACTCCAACGTGCGCTTCTACTGCCAGACCACACAGCGCGTCACCGGGGAGCGCAGGCTGTCGCTGCCGGGGCAGGTCGTCGTCACAGGTTGGTACCCCTTGGCCCGGCGCCGCCTGACAACCGGGCTGGCAAGGCAAGTCGCTTTGAATTTGCAGCAGCCTCTCTGCAGTAAGTAAGCCACCTACAGCAGCAACGCGCTAGGGGCCGCGGCTCCATTGCTGCTCCCACGTGCTCCTCCCACTGCTGCTCCCTCTGCTGCTCCCACTGCTGCTCCCACTGCTGCTCCCACTGCTGCTGCTCCCACTTGCTCCTCCCACTGCTGCTCCCTCTGCTGTTCTCTCTGCTGCTCCCTCTGCTGCTTCTACTCTTCTCCCACTGCTGCTCCCCCACTGCTGCTTCCTCTGCTGCTCTCGCTGCTACTGCCTCTACCGCGGTGGGCGCCGCCACCGCGTTGCGTCGCGCGTCGTCGCGGATAAGCCAGCCGTAAGCTCCTTACTGGCAGCTGACGGCCGCGTGACTCTCCGCCGCTGGCTCCAGCCGTGGCACGCGGCTCCAGTGCATCCCGCCGGCTTCAGGGGGGGGCTCCGGGGCGTCACCACGTCGTTGTAATGACTGGGGTAATCCCTCGCCACCCGGCGTGGCTCTAAACACCCGCCGAGCCAGATTAGCAAATGAGGAGCCCGCCTAGAAACTGAAATTTTATGTCAGTTTTCACTACAAGTAAAGGAGTGACCAAATACGATGCAAATAGAGCGATATTGTGAAGCCAATTTGACGACTCTTGGGAGAGCGATATTAATTACATCGCTCGTTTGGAGTAACTTTTCGCGACATTTTTGGTTACGAATAAGACTCATTTTGAGTCATTTTCACAAACGTCGCCCGTTTAGAGTCGTTTCTGCGACATTTTCTGTTACGAAGAAGACTCATGTTGAGTCATTTCGCAAAAATCGCTCTAACAGAGCGATGAAGAATATACGTCGCTCTATTCGGGAAAGAAAGGTCACTCTACGCTTTACAGTGTTAAATGGATAAAATTGAATACACCCAGAAAAGCGTGTGCTTGAAAGTCTCAAGTACATTTTTGCGTTCATTTCAAGCCCAATTTAGGCCTGAAACAAGAACATGCGTATAACGATTTGAGAACAAAGTGGGGTTGATTTGAGCCCAAATACTCGATTGGGGTTGAGACTATCGAGTACATTGCACTCGATTCAAGTATGGCGCACATGATTCGAGAACACCCTTTTCTGGGTGTATCTTTCGTGCCCTTTTTACATCGATGCTCACCGTGTAGAATACCTACCGCTAAATCGTTTTATTTTTTTCTCCAGATTTTTTCCTTTGCTGTTTGGCTATTTTATCTTTGAAGCAAAAATAATTGAATTGATACCGTAACGTGCTCACTTTTGTTGCCGTTTGTATATTTTTTAATATTTTTTTGGGGACGTCTTGACCTAAACAAAATTAATTGTTGCACATCCATGAGAAGTGTCACTTTTCGCGACACCATATACACCTTATCACTTTGTGGCTGCCCGTTGTCCGCCCGTCGGAGGCAACCGGGGCCAGGCAACCAGAAACCACTTCGAGGCAACCAAGCGAGGGGCCAGGCCAGCTCAGCGCCAAATCAAGTTGAGTCGAATCAGCAACGGCAGCCTGCAACGACAGATCCAATTGGGGCCGGGAGGGAAAGAATTAGAATGCATTGGGAAGATCAGCGGCACGGAAGGAAAGGAACGCGGAGGGTAGGGGGAAAAGAAGGGGGGCTAGGAGGAAGGTTTGGGAGGAGAGGGGGCACGTGAGGAAAAAAAAGAGAACGAGAGGGAGAGATTGATGGGTCAGTGTCAGGCTCCGGGAGAGTCAACTTGAGATTATGCAGTGCCCCTGTGCCTCGCGCCCAGCCCCACCACCCTCCACCCCACCCCGCACTCTACCGAAAGCTGTTTCCATTTCCAGGCGCCCAAGTCGGTCTGAGCTGGATAGTTGTTAGAGAAAAATACAAAAGGAGCAAGGCGAGCAGTGAGAGGAGGAAACGGAGCACTGCGTCAAGTTGTTGGCTGAATGCTTGATGAATCGCACGCCCTTTCATTAGCCTGCCTGATACTGCTGCGGGGGAGAGAGTGGTGTTCGGGTAGGGGAGGTCTGTTCGCACCCCTCCCCTCCTCCGCCGCTCCGCCTCTACCCCATCTCTCCTCGTCTACCGGCCGCGACAGGCCTCTGCTGCTTCTACTTAACCTTGCAGGCTCCTACACAGGCACCTGCTCTGCACACGGGTCCATGGACGTTCGTTCACGCCGTCCTGACGCCTGAGCGGCAGGAGCAGTAGCAGCATTAGCAGCAGCATTAGCAGCAGCAGCAGCAGGAGGAGCAACAGTAGCAGCAGGATCAGCAGTAGAAGTAGCAGCTCCATGTCCCGGTGCCAGACAGGGCCGCGTGCGCGCCGGCCGCGTCAGACGCAGCCATGATCCCGACTATCTTCCTGGATACGTAAACTCCAGCGCTTGATGGCATGAGCAAGAGC